GCTATGGTCTTTGTTGTTTTTTTTAAAAAGAATTTTGCCGGCGACAGCGTGGGGAAATAGAACTCGGCCTTGACGATGGTTAAAAAATACAACTATACTATAAATAAAAAGAAATGTTATCCCCATCCCCTGCCCCATCCGCCACAGTACACTTTGGAGGATCGGTCAAACAGTTACGTGTCCTCTATTGAGCTATCAAAGGGGGGCAACGAGTCAAATGTGTCATTCAAATTTGAAGCGTTGCCTATATTTTACACTGTATTTTGTGTAATGGATTTTTTTTTTTTTTTGCTGAAGAGCGTGGTATAGTGACTGTAAAATAAAGATAATCGTACCGCAGCTACAGTGTTTTTCTTTTACAAACTAAATATCAAGGCAAAAATGCACGAAAATTAAATTCAAAATTTAAAAAAATACTAATTATGGTCAGCAGTGGGCCCCTAAACGGCCTGCCCCCCCCCCCCCCCACCCGCATTGCGGGGTCTGGGGGCACTGTAGTTCCGCCCCTGTATAGATCTTTTGGTTGTTTTTAGGCTTAAAAGCTAGATCATTGTATCCTAAAATTTTTTAACTTTAATGTATTTAGTGTTAATAACTAATTTTCCATTAACACGTTTACTAATTATAAAACGATTAATAATATAAAGACGGGTCTTACCTTCTTGTTGTGTGAATTAGATTCGTCAACGAAATACTTCATCAGGTAAATGAACAACTACTGACTAGTGTCTTTAACAAAATGTGCAGAAGTGGTCAGTTTACAGTTCAGTAGTTCATAAACGGTTCGTTAATCTATGCATTACATCTTATTGTAAGAGTAAGGGTGTGGTGAGGGGTAGAGGTTAGGGGGATGGGGGGAGGGTAGAGAGTTGGGAAGGTTCAAGGGAAGGGGACAAGAAAGCGCCGATGAACATCTACATCAATAGTGCCGACTTTTTCCGGTCGTCTAGAAGACCAGGATAGTCGCCGCAACATTTCCCCAGCCCGATTTTCAAAGCTTTTTTGTTCTCCTAATCGACACCACTAAAAAAGAACGGTAGGCTGCGTCTTTGAAGTTGTCTATATGTCTGGCGGTCTCTCGAGCAATAGTCTCTGCATTTTTCTCATAGACGTTTCTCGACTATCGTGTTTGTTTGTAACTGTAGAAGAAAGATAACTCGACATCCACCTAATTTTTTTTATTTAAATTTAAATTTAAATTTTTTTTTTAATAATTTAGCCAGGATTTTTGGGCCCCCAATCGGTCTGGGCCCCCCCGCATTGCGGGGTCTGGCGGCACTGTAGTTCCGCCCCTGCTGACGGATGATCCTCGGAGTACTTAAGTGAATCAGGCGGAGAGTCAAAACAAGATGGCCGCGACAGTTGGCGTGTCCACTTGACTACGGCGTCACGGGGGAAAAAGTTAGGAACCGGAAATAGACCCGAGTGTCGGCTTGAAGAGAAACAAGATGCCCTGGATAAGGGCAGGATAATGGGCCGAGAGGAAAAAAAAACGTAATTTGGCCACTACTTGAGGTAATTACACATTCTGGATTACGGCCCCTTATTTGGAGAAGACACAAAAATTATCCTAAAAGCATAATTTATCGATATACTCCAGTTCAGGAGTTTATCAATTCACGTCAAAAAGTTGATATGAAAATAACTCGATTCTTTAATATTAATAAATACAAAAAAAAAGAGTACGACAATTAAAAAAATTTGTTCACATTATACAACCATAACGACTAATTGTACTTTAGGCACTGATCGTTAGAGTACTTGCAGTAGAGTAACAGAAGTGAAGAAGTGAAGAAGAGCAAATGCGACTTATGAATACAATTCTACCACCACATCTCATAAAAATTTAAAAAGTCACCACCCAATTTCCTACGACCCGTGACCAAAAAAAAAACAAAACTCACTATGACCACTACAGAAACCACGGCAATACCTGCCAATAACCATTACAAAACCACGGCAATACCTGCCAATGACCATTACAAAACCACGGCAATACCTCCCAATGACCATTGCAAAATCACGGCAGTAACTGCCCCTGACCACTACAAACTCACGGCAGTTGCCGCCCATGACCAGTGTTTCTTCCAGACTTTTTTCTCCGGGGGGGCACTTGAAATCTTCGGGGGGGCGGTAAACTTTCTTCGGGGGGCGGACACTGTTAAAAGTATATATTTTCTATATAAATTATATAAATTTCATTTCGTTCGGGGGGGCGGTAAAAATTTTTCGGGGGGGCTTCGCCCCCCCGAAGAGATGCCTGGAAGAAACTCTGCCCATGACCACTACAAACATGACCACTACAAAACCACCGCAATACCTGACCATGACCACTACAAACATGACCACTACAAAACCACCGCAATACCTGACCATGACCACTACAAAACTCACGGCAGTAGCTGCCCATGGCCGCTAAAAAAATTCAGAGCCACGTAGGACTGTTATAGCAACTCTACCCAGCTCACGTATAGACGGGACCCGTGGTGGGACGATACACACAACTAAATAAAACAGACACGTGAGTACAACCCACACAGAGCCAACGGTGTGCCATGTCCACTAGACCGTTCACCCGATCCCTTTTGTGTCGTTAGCGGTGCGCGCTTCGGTTGAAACAATTACAAGAAGTTGATTGAATTTTTTGTACACCAGCCCAAATCCGCCATACCCACTCGACAGTTGTGGTGGTGAAATTGGTTGTCCATATACGGCTGGGGTCAGTAGCCGGTGTCAAGTGGAAACTGAAAAAAAAAACAACAACCGGGAGCCGGAAAAAAAAAGGTACGCAACTTTGAAGCAAAAAGTACAATAATTGGAGAGAGCAGTGTGGATTTGTTAGAAGAAATGTGTTGAGTGAGAAAAACACCAAACAAAAACCTAAAACGGGAGCTTAGTGCCCTGACACCGACATAATGTATAAAAAAATAAAGCGAGAGTCAGCTCCTCTAAACTTTCTCGCATTGTTATATGACTGGCATTTCCAATGGAATCGGTCTATAGAAACGAAGGGTATGTTTCTGAAAAACGGCTTGTTTTACGAGAAAACACATATGGACAAAGTTCTTAGTATATGCTATTTTTTTATAATATAATATAAAATGGTTTCTTAAAATAGAGTAAAAATCCTTTCCGGTTACCGGAAATCGCTCAAAATATGCTAAGAACCTGCGTATACGATCTTATAAGATACATTTCGTCGAGCTAACTGAAACGGTACTTTTTCGGACGCGTATGAACTTTTAAAAGGGAAAAGTAAATTTTTGCAGGGGGGGGGGGGGGGGCGGTTCCAAAATCCAAAAAAATTGTGGACATCATAAATGGATGACCCCTAATGGTTTTGGGAGAAACCGGAAATAACCGGAAATACAGCGGTATAAGTTATCCTGATCACACTATCGTCACAGCTGAAAACAGTAATATTCTCGTTTGTTCTAAATCGATACAAATATTATCCAACATTTTGTAATATATTTAAAAATGGCCAAGCACCAGATCGGTTCATCAGTGATCGATGCCTATAACTTAGACATTAGAACATCTTTAAAATTGTAGGACTGAGACATGCGGCTACTGTTCGATGGGCTGGACTTGCAAGTGAAACGCTAATGGACAACAATGTGTTTGAAATTCTGGCTTCTGTAATTATTATTGTTAACGAGGGAAAAATTAAGAATCGAGATTTTTTTCAATTTTGCCTAGATTAAAAAACAACAACAACAAAAAAACAAACAACCTAAGCCTTTGAATATTTAAAAAAAAAACTTAATGCTTAAAGCAGAGGCGTCGCACCGGGTGACACTATTTATGGGGGTGAAACCAAGGCAAAAACAGCAAAATATTTATATAAAAAAAACGATTATTCAAGTTAAGTAAATTATTATTACAGTTAAATAGTCTTTTAATTAAGAGCAAAATTGACAAATCCCAAAAAGGTGGGGGGAGGGGTGACACCATGACGTAAACCTGATAACGATATAGAAAACAATACTATATCCAGCTGTATTTATAATCGACTATAGATGAACTTCGTTAGTATTATCTGTGAACAGTTTAAAGCTATCACGGGGGGAGGGGGGGAGGGGGGGGGGGAGACGACGACGACGATGACAACATATCTTAATGTTTCAGAATTTGCCCGAGGGAAAATGTGTTCTTGAGAATTTTAATAACTGAGTGGGATGTGACACCAAACTTAATAATTTACTACAAATACAATGATTTTTCCACTTGAATTAATAACTGATAGAGTTAGGCCCCTAAATGTTTTTCCTAGGTGGATTAATATAATGTTTGCACATTATATATATATATATATATATATATATATATATATATATATATATATATATATATATATATATATATATACCATTAGGTGTCGTACAGGGTGGCACCCGACCTAGCGATGCCACTGGTTTAAAGAATGTTACAAGATTTTAAAATGCAGAGAACTTGACTTTTTAAAAAAATGCGTCTATTGCCAGATCTACATTTCTATTTATTTTTAACAAACCAAAGTATACTATGAAATATGAAGTTTCAGTTTAGTAAGAACAACATTGATTAGGCCCTCGCTATGCAGATACTCAGTAACGGCGTAGCCCGCGTAGGCCTAATCGATCTTCTGAAAAATGTGTAGTAAATTGTACTACAAATTCAACAACAACATTTAAAATCAAAATATCCATTTTGAAACCAACTTCTGCCATGAAAATTTACATTTTCACTGAGAAAATGAAAAAAAAAAGAAATCCTTTTTGGCTTTTTAAAGGAAAAATTGTTTAATTACCGAAAATACTAAAAACAACAATACATCCAATCTTTAGTAAAGTCCGAAAATCCATGATAAAGTATTTTTAAACACATTTATTTTAATAACACCGTGCACAAGTTTATTTTGTTTAATAATATTTAATGAAACATTTGGTACTTGAGACTATTCTTGTTGTTGTCCATTCGGCCAGCCAGTTCGCGAAAGCGCCGGTAAATCCCTGGCCATATTTGATTTCGTTTCCGGGGGTGACGGCATTTTTATTATTCTGGCTGAGGTTTGGTTCTCAATAAGAATAGCTTAATGTATTCCACGGCTATTGTTTGCATATAGAATCTAGCATTTTATACGTGAAGCTTTTGACACAGTGATATTGCTTGATTAAGCTTGCTTACTAGATCTAGATCTACTGATCTTGGTTTCTAGAATCTAGATCTAAAATCTAAACTAAGTCAAAGTACTCAAAAATGAAAAAATCTATAAGTTTTAGTTTTAGATCTCGGTAACTTGGTTATTAAAAATGTTGATAGATTTAGAAAGGGCCAAATTCTAAATAATTTTATAATAATAATAATTATAATTAGGCCTATTATAGAGTATTATAGGCCTCATAAATAATAAATTGCATTCTCTATATCTAGTTCTAGTGCAAAGTACTAGAAACTAGAGAAGCTACTAGATCTAGATCTATTCATCTAGATCTAGAAATCTACTTGTCAATATAAAAATATTAGTCCTATCAGGCTTAAACCTAGTACTATTAGCAGAGGCTATGGGGCCCATTTTCATTTTTTAAAAAGGTGCACAGATTATATCAATAGTAGTCTAAGTCAATTACTAAGCTAAGCCTCAAGTTTTATTTTAAATTTAATAACAAAAGACAGAGAAAACATAGTTTTTGCATAATATTAAATCAGCCTAAATATTAAATATTGGGGGGGGGGGGGGGCATAAATATTAAATATTGGTGGGGGGGGGGGTGGGGGGGGGGGGGAAGAAAGACCTTAGAGGCAGTGTTTAGTTTCACCATAATAATAACCTAATTTAAAGTTTAAAGGTTTACATTAAATAAATACACATTTTAACATTTAATTTTAATGCTCAGTTTATTAAAGGGACATTTTTTTTCATGCCTTTGGAATGCTAGCATAAGTGGCATTTTACTATTTAGGGATATAGGCCTATTATGTAATGATAGCATTTTACTAAATTTTAGGTTATTTAGATATTGCTAGATGTTAAGATTTGAAAATACATTACTTTATGATTAATAATGCTAGGGTTTCAAGCAGTGTTTCTTCCAGACTTTTTTCTCCGGGGGGGCACTTGAAATTTTCGGGGGGGGCGGTAAACTTTCTTCGGGGGGGCGGACACTGTTAAAAGTATATATTTTCTATATAAATTATATAAATTTCATTTTGTTCGGGGGGGGCGGTAAAAAATTTTCGGGGGGGCTTCGCCCCCCCGAAGAGATGCCTGGAAGAAACTCTGGTTTCAAGATAAATTTTGGAATACTAAAATTTAGGAATATATTAAAAATTAAAAAGTTTGAAATATTAGGATTAAGGAAATAAGTTTTAGGATTCAGGAATATATTTTGATTATGGAATGCTAGAATCTAAGGATTTATAACAGAATTATAGAATGTAAATTTAAGGATTACTTAGGCTTTACAACTTTACATGTAATATTATTCAGAAAAGTTTGTAGGGCTAGATTACGGAATGGGAGGATTTAGTAGGAATTCATTACAGAATGATTTAAGAATATATGATGGAATGGCAGGATTTAGGCATATATATTACGGAATGTTAGGATTCAGGAATAAATTACATAATGCTAAAATTTTAATGATTTATGATCATGCTAGAATTTTAATGTAAGGGAATTTATTTCAAAAAGCTAGATTTGAGGGATAGATCACTGAATGGTAGGATTTAGCTGAAACTCTTTACGGAATGATTTAGGAATATATGGTGGAATGGCAGGATATATTACAAGTCGCTAGGATTCAGGAATTAATTACAGAATGCTACAATTTAAGGATTTATGACAATGCTAGAATTTTAATTTAAAGGAATTTATACAGAAATGCTAGCTTTTAGTGTTAGATAACGGAATGGTAAGATTTAGGAGGGATTTATTATGGAATGGTGGAGTTTAGGTTTATAGTACGCAGAGGGATATACTATGGAATGGTAGGATTTAGGAATATGTTAGGGAATGCTAGCAGAGTTTCTTCCAGGCATCTTGAGCCCCCCCCCCCCCCCCCGAAGAAAGTCTACACCTTCCTCCCCCTCCCCGAACAAATTGGAATTTACACAGAAAATATATAATTTTACTAGTGTCCGCCCCCCAGAAAATGTTGACACATACGGAATGCTATTGTTACATAATGTAGGAATTTTCTGATGGATCCATAAGACTAGGATTTAGGGACATATTATATAATGTTAGGATTAAAAATATATTATGGAATGATCTGAATTAGTGATACATTTTGGAATTAGGCTATGATACAGGGATATTTTAAAGAACGCCTGGATTTAACTATAATATACACAATTGTTAGATTTAGGGATATATAATGAATGTTAAGATTTAGTAATGTAGAGATATTAGTGGAAAAAAAATTAAAATACATGTACTGTAAACTATTAATAAATTGCAACTAAGACTAAAGATCATGGACACTAAGTTACATACAAATATGTTACAGTTAACAACCCTCAACCCTATAAACTTTATAAATAAATTATTTATAGACCTTTAGCCTTTCATAATATAAACCCCTCACCCTACATAGCAAGATTAAAAAAGTACTGGTAATTAAGCCTTCTATTAATAAAAAAAGTTTATAAGGGATTAAATATTTGAAAAACATGCGTGATATGCAGGATTTTTTAAATACGTTTCTTTAGCTTTCACATTGATGAAAATATATTAAATGCCAATAAATACGCTCATTAAGTTTGTTATTTTATCAATATTTCCCATGTAGTTGCATTTCAATGATTCAAATTTCTGTTTTATAGGGTTTAACATGGCTTCATCTGATGAGAATAGTATGCAGGGTGAGGATTGCATAGAAGTGAAAGCAGAACCAACATGTGAAATGAAAACTATGTTCATGGATGCTTTGAATACATTGCTGCAAGAAAAGGCAAATAACAGCGGGATCCTTAGCCCAGAAAAGTACCTTACTTTTATAGAGGACGTCAAACAGGCTAGGGTAAAGCAGACTAAAAGTAGCGTTGACTATCGTCGACTAAGAAAATATGATATTCTTGAAGTTGAGGGTGAGGAAAGACTTATTGTGCCAATAACAGAAGACAGTAGTGCTTTGCTGTACTATGTGCATACAGATGAGTTATTCGACTTGTTGAATGAAACTCATCTGAAAATTGGGCACGGAGGTCGGACAAGGATGGAGAAGGAGTTACAAAAAATGTACAAAAATGTCACCAAGGAAGTTATTATGTTGTATCTTCGCTTGTGTAAACCATGCCAGACTAAACTGTCTAACCCTAAGAAAGGTCTAGTTTTCAAACCTGTGATGTTTAAAGAAAGTAACTCAAGGGGACATGTAGATCTTATTGATATGCAGAGTAACCCAGATGGTGAATATAAGTTTATACTTAATTACCAGGATCATTTAACGAAGTTTATGTTATTGCGAGCTTTGAAAAGCAACAGTGCAGAAGACGTTGCTAACCAGCTGCTGGATATTTTCACAACCATTGGTGCCCCAAGTGTGCTTCAATCAGATAATGGAAGAGAATTTGCAAAGCTAGTTATAAGTGAACTAAAGAACAAATGGTCTGAACTGAAACTTGTTCACGGAAAACCCAGGCAAGATTCAGTCAAAGATGCTAACCAAGATGTTCAGAATATGGTGATGACATGGATGCAGACAAATAAATCCAAACACTGGGCTGAGAATCTTAAATTCATTCAATTCATGAAAAACCGTTCATTTAATCAAGAAATTCAGCAGACACCGTATGAGGCCATGTTTGGATGCAAAGCAAAGGTGGGACTAAGCACTTCAAATCTGCCCAGAGAGCTTGTCGATAACTTATTTACGGATGAGGATCTGGAGAAAGTTGAACAACAAATGGAGGATGCAACTACTTCCTCCGCAAATGAACTTGCTGAAAAAGAGTGTGGCTCAGCCCGTTTTTGCGGTTCCTATGGCAACAATGTACATGCAGTAAGTAATGAATCAGATGAAGAGCACACAGGGAAAACTACTGGGAGGCAATGTTTTAATAAACAAGAAACCAGAAGCAAAAGGTCAGGGGCACAAGCTAGTTTGCAAGCTAGAAGTACCAAGATGCTAAAAATAGTTGGAGATACTGCACGCCTCGGTACACCAGATTATGACAGGGGTTGCAGTGACCCACATAGCAATGTCATGAACACAGACGGCACGCTAGAAAAAACATCACTGCAAACCACAGTGCCTTCGCAATTACTGACCAGTGGCCAAGACCATACACATTGTAATTGCACCAGTAAGTGCTCAACGAATCGCTGTAAATGCAAAAATAACAAAGTGCTATGTAATTCAGACTGTCATAAAAGTCAACCTTGTTGTAACAGCTGATGATAGGCATTGATAATTTAATTTACCGTAATAAACTAATTTGTTTGCATTTGTAATTTAGTTCATTGTAATAATTAACTATCTATATAGGTGTGATTGTCCTAATGGCATACAAACACACACAATCTGCTCATAATCTACCTGATCTGACTTAGGTCAAACACCTCGAGCCTTTTCCCATTCTGGCTAGTAAATGTCCAGAAAATATTGAGAACTGGCCGGTCAATATAAGGTGATATAAGCCATGTCCTGGTTTGTTCAGCTAGAATTTGGGCTTTAACCATAACATATAGGCCTACATGGAATAATATAGGCCTACATATTTTTAAACATACACATATACACACCATACATATTTATAAATATACAATCTGTATACATACACATCTATATGCATATACATATGTATGTACATATATACACATATATATGCACATGCACACATTACATATATATATATACACATACATACATACATACATACATACATATATATATATATATATATATATATATATATATATATATATATATATATATATATATATATATATATATATATATGTATGTATATATATATGTGTATGTATATATATATGTGTATGTATGTATATATATATGTGTATGTATGTATATATATATGTGTATGTATGTATATATATATGTGTATGTATGTATATATATATATGTGTATGTATGTATATATATATGTGTATGTATGTATATATATATATGTGTATGTATGTATATATATATGTGTATGTATGTATATATATATGTGTATGTATGTATATATATATGTGTATGTATGTATATATATATGTGTATGTATGTATATATATATGTGTATGTATGTATATATATATGTGTATGTATGTATATATATATGTGTATGTATGTATATATATATGTGTATGTATGTATATATATATGTGTATGTATGTATATATATATGTGTATGTATGTATATATATATGTGTATGTATGTATATATATATGTATATGTATATATATATATATGTATATATATATATATATATGTATATATATATATATATATATATATATATATATATATATATATATATATATATATATATATATATATATTATACATAGGCCCATTTATATTTATTATATAAATGATGGTTTTGGTTTTGAAGTGAGGCACAGGCATGAGGAAAATTCCACTGATTGTTTTTATTTGTAATTCTATTTTACGAGCCAACATAAAAATAAATAATAGACGAACGGCGTGTTCAAGTTGAGGAAATCATCATCAGAGTACACAGTGTGCCATATAAAATGGCGTTAACAAAAAAAACGTTTCCTCCCAAATAGCCTCCGCCTGTTTGGCCAACAAGGTCTGCTGGGTTTTGTCAGCCAGAAAATTATGACGGATTTCTCCGGTTATGCCCCTTTGGGTGCATACCAATCACAATTTTTTTTGGTGTAGCGAGGAGGATAAAAAAAGGGGGAGGGGGGGGGAATTGAACAGGAAAAAAAATTTGGTTTGCTCATGTCGTTATTCATTTAAGCTGTATCAAGATGAGCCAAAAGATCAGTGAGTGGTTTAATTACGGCTGGCGTTGGTGCAGCACGCACGTGCATTTGGGAGTCAGTCGGGTGTGAAACTTGTTCAACTGTGACAAGGGGAGCAGGGGTGGGTGGGTGGGTGGGGGGGAGTATATCGACCTACACGGCATTAGTGGCAACGTGGATTAAATAAAGCCATCGTAGAAGTTCCGGCTAGAAAAAAAAAAGGGGATGGAACTGTGGGTGGCACGTGGACAAGTTCGATAACTGGACCTCCCCGTTACCCCAGTCCTCGCTTCCACTCACGGCCTTCGAATTCGCAGAAAAAACATTTGGAAAATTAAAACAATATTTTTAATACAAGCGACCCTCCTTCTCAGCCCACCAAAATAAAAAATTAAAAAAAAAACGAGAAAAAAAAATAACCCGACGCCCTGACGATAATGTTGGGACGGAAAAATCAATGATAAGTCAACAGAAGACCAGCGCCAGGGTGTCTAGTCAATGTCCAGGACTGATGGAGCGGGGGGTGGGGGGGGGGGGGGGGGGGTCGGGTCAGTTTATTCTGATAGTTCTCTTGTTTCAATTCGGCTAACACAATTTTTCGTCAAGTTACAAGGCACTCCGACTTGGGTGAAGTCAAATGACTCAGATCTGGGTTAAGTCAAATGACTCAAATTTGGGTTAAGTCAAATGACTCAAATTTGGGTTAAGTCAAATGACTCAAATTTGGGTTAAGTCAAATGACTAAGACTTGGGTTTAGTTAAATCACTCAGATCTGAGTTAAGTCATATCGCTCAAACTTGGGCTTAGTTAAATCGATTAAATTTAAGCCAATAACTCAGTTAAGATTAAAAAGGTATCAAGTATTGATTATGATGTGGTTAACAATTAGCATGGATAATATAAAAATTGACATTTTAAGGATTAAATTACACAAAGGAGTATGTACTGTGACTAGTATAACTTTGCTAATACCAAAAAACCCTTGCTCAAATCCATATTCACACGATGTTTAAATTTAAACAACGCCTAACCGAAATTCTTTGACGGAAACTTACACGAAAACGTAAAAAAAGTCGAAATTAATTTTATAGTATTAAAACGTAAAATAAAAAACAACATTAGTAATTAAGTAAGATTGGTTAGAAGAAATTTTACAAGGTTATACGATAAACTAACATACTGATATGCATAACTACTTTTTTTTTTAAATTAAAAAAATTAATAAATTGTGCGTGAGAGACTAATCTTCAGCTATGGATTAGTTGGAGGAAAGTGCGATGTTAGTTTACACAATAATCCCCAAGTTTTGAGGAAACTGAATTCCAAACGCAATTACGTTAAGTTATATTCGAGCTGAAAAATTCATGATGACATTTAAGACACAGGGCCGGTAACCTTCACCCTACCGATGGGCTATGTAACTGTGATAAATATTCATGTGTGGCTTGTATTCTAGCCTACGTATTTCCCCATTGACAAACAGACAGGACCGCAACACATACCACGCAGTGCATACTTCGGTAAGTAGAGACCACAAAATTAGAGTCTCCTGGCCTAATGACTTAATTACACGACGTAGCCACGGGCCTGGATAATTACATAATTATAAGCAGTTATTTCCAGAACCCAAGTTCAGATTTGAACTGATTAATTAATGCGACTATTCCAAGCTTCGTCAATGCGATTACTGTTAATGTATTTTGTTACATTCAATAGTGTTCGTTGTATCACAGAGAACACTGTTATGGTGGGGGTCAAAATTACAAGCACTTAATAATAAACCTATAGGAGAAATAAAAAAAAAAAACAATGATTCCACTGAATGTCTTCGTCGAAATAATCTACAACAAAAAAAAAAAAAAAAAAAAAAAAAAAAAAAAACTCATAGGTTAAAACAACAGTTTGTCCTTTTAAAAAAATTCGTTATACGTGAAGTACATATAGCGAAAGCATGCATTTTAAAATTTATTTTTATCCCATTGCCCTTTAGCAACTAGGAAGACAATTGTCAACAGTTAACGCAATTCAAAGACTTTGAACACCATAAAGGTCGGATTTCTAAATATTAAAAAAAAAAATTAATTTTAAATATCGAAAGTTTTTTTTGTTTTTTATTTATTCTCCCGCCCTCATCCTCCCTCAACATTCCAACTGGTTTGAACCACCTTCTACCAATCCTCATGCTAAACTGGTTGAAACCGCCAAACATGTACAAAACTGCCATATATCAATTTCCACCCCCCCCCCCCCCCCCCCAACTAGTTAAAAACGCAATCTAACAATCTTCCTCCACCCCTAACAGGCTAAAACCACCGTCTACCAATACCCCAACTGACTAGAACCACCATCCACCAATCCCCCAACTGGCTAAAACCACCATCCACCAAACCCCCAAACTGGCTAAAACCACCATCCACCAATCCCCCAACTGACTAAAACCACCATCCACCAATCCCCCAACTGGTTTAAAGCACCATCCACCACAACTGGCTAAAACCACCATCCACCAATCCCCCAACTGACTAAAACCACCATCCACCAATCCCCCCAAACTGGCTAAAACCACCATCCGTGTACCAATCCCCCAAACTGGCTAAAACCACCATCCCGTGTACCAATCCCCCAAACTGACTAAAACCACCATCCACTAATCCTTAACGAACTAAAAACCACCGTCTACCAATCCTCTCTAGTCCACCAGCGGGTATACATAAGGCATGAGTTGTGTACACCCCAGCTCCACTATGGTTAAATTTAATTTCTCTCCACATGGTAAACGGGATCTCTCTCTGGCCAAGTAGTTCCAACTCTTGGGCCTGGCTATTGATTGGTTTGGGGGTTGGGGGGTGTGGGGGAGGGGCGTGTGGGGACCTCTATTTGCATCGTGCTTCCGCGTTGCCATGGTAACGCTGCCTTGGGACTATAGCTAACCAAATATTCGGCCACGAGACAAATAGTGTGTGTGAGTGGCTGAAATATTGATGGCAGTCAAATAACAGCTATATCAAAACATCCGCATGGCTGTTGTGGGGAGTGTGTGTGGTGTGTGGTGTGTGTGTGTCGATATAGGGGTGTAGAATGAAGGTGTGTGGGTTGAGTGAGTTGGGGGGGGGGAGTTAGAATGTATGCAATTTTTTCGTTTATGGTGCGATATGAGGGTAGCTAGCTTATATTGACACCCCCATCCCGCTCCCCTAATTCTATAATTGCAAGCGTCACCCGCCCACACAGTCAGCGGTAGCCATATACACACTCCCCTTCCCACCATTAAAACAGAATGTAAGTAAGGGACAATGGTCCACACACATAAACACAGCCATGAGTAGCTAGCGTCCCATCTCCGTCTCCCACTAAGTAAGGGGTGCTAGCGTTCCCCCTACCTCTCCCACATACAGCCAGGGGTAGCTAGCGCCCCACCCCCACATTACACATACAGCCAGGGGTAGCTAGCGCCCCACCCCCCCCCCACATTACACA